GCCTTTCTCTGCAATGCAGCAACCAGTGAAACACATCACAGACACAGCTACACCCTGAGAAACCCCAACAGCCTCTGTACAAACACATGAGTATTATCCGTCATCGTAGGTTGCCCTCAAAGTGCCAACAATACTGGAATCAAAGAGAGGAAACAAAGAACACAAAGGCCAGGGGTAACTTGTTCCTCCTGGGTGAAGTGTCAAAATGAAAACTCTAATAATTGCTTTTTTTTGTGTGTGTGTGTCTGTCGCGTCGCAGTCTGGGATGCTCTTTGGAAGCTCCTTTGAGTGACACACTTCAGTCAGTGAAGGCTGAGATGAGGTTAACGCTGTTAATTAGGCCTATTGGGGAAATGTTTGAGTTTGTGCATATGGTGGCACCTCAGTTCTACAACAAAATAGAAATTCCAGCCTGTTACAGCCCTAATGAGCACTCCTCAACTCCAACGCTTTGTAAGTCCAATTTGGCCAATAACCTCTCAGAACAACAAACTTCCCCTCATATAGCTTCAGAGGTGAGAAAAACAACCAGAAAACCACTTGTCTCACTATGATGTCTTGAGCCTGTTCATTTCTGGAATAGCCTATTAATTAGTGTGGCACTTGACACCATCTAAATCTAAAGTCTTTTTTATCATACAATAATAATTACAGACTGTGATGTGAGCACGTTTAATTTGCTCTAAACGTCTGACCGACTACGATCCAGCAGGGTTCACAAAGGTGAAAACTTTCCCTGAACTTGCTGGCTAAGCTGCTGCGCTTTGCAAAGATCTCTCGTCTCCTCCCCGCTATCAACGTGAGGCTCAATGACACCTCATTTCAACCCATTCAGAGAGGCCAATTGAATGACATATCAGCCGCTGATAAAGTATTTCGACTCAGCTGTTTAAGCCACTCATGTGAAATGGTGTCTCCATTTATTCGTTCTAATGAAACCCCCATTTCCTGAGTGGATTAGTGTTAAAGGGGAAGTGCAATGGAGTGGGCTTAGCACAGGGAAAATCTACCCGAAAAGAAAATTCACATGCTCTTGTGGATTCCTATTATTATAGCACTATTGAGCATTTTAAGCGATTTTTGTGAGCATGTGCAAGTCACTTCAAAAGTTTGAATCGAGAGAATCGGGGCCTGATCACATAAAACGTGGGTTTTATCTAATAGCCTCTGCTGTTAATGACTGAGTTACATAAAAGCAATTATCCATCAGTTTCTTGCACGTTAAGGACAAAGTATATCACATTGTAAGCGTGCAGCACTGTGCTTTCACTGTTATTCTCAATACTGCGGATGCACAGTGACAATTCTAAATAAATTATTACATTTTTATTCTTGGAAAATTGCCTCTGTACCTCTCTGTTTCTCAGCTGTCTACCAGCTATCTGACAGCTATTTTCTGTCAGTAGCCTCTACCGTGGAAACTAAAAATGCTTCATTCAAGCTGGCACAAGAGGTTGATCCACGAGCAGACAGGAAAGGTTAATGATCAAGAGACAGTGAATGGAAGCCTAAAGCTTGACTAATACTTATAGACTTGAAGCTGAAAATTAACCGACTTTAGGACAACCAGGTGGATTGTGAGTGTACTGAACTTTAGCCTGTCATTCACATTCATTGGAACATCCTCAGAAAGTAGTTTTTGGCACCAGCACAGACTTGGATTTACTAATTTGTAGGTGTCAGAGAGGTTTTATCACAAATATTGGACATGCTGTTCAAGGTCTTTAAGTCTTCCTTTGGTGTGGACGTCCCTTTATAACAAATCATAAAAACATTTTGTCAATGTTTTCTTGCTTTTTCCTTCTTTTTTTTCTGCCTTAAGCATTTGTAATCATTGTGAAGACGAGGGTTGGGCATCAGGAATGGGCATATGGAAATGTCATCGCGATGGACGATAGCATTGTTGTGGTGGGCGGAGCTTTATGCGTTACAGTAGCAAGGACAGAGCGCAGTGTGTTTGAGTGTGTGTGTTTTTAGAGTGAGTGACAGAGAGGGGAGGACAAGGTGAATTATTGCAAGCAATGTTTCTCTGAGTTATTAATAACTTAGGCTACTCGGGTTGCTGCTTTGTCACTTTTTGACCCATCCACTGGAATCTGTGATATTTATGTACAAGTTAATTAAAAAGAAACCAAAAATTAGCAGGGAGTGGCAATGATCAGTGGTGGTAGCAAATATCCACGATAGTGGCAACAAAAGCCCTGTTTCCATCAAGCAGTACGGTACGGTACTTCTAGTTGTGGATGGTACCAATGGAACCGTTCCATACTGTCCCCATTTTTGGTCCCCCCTCTGTTGGGGTACCTAGCACACAGATCTGGTACTAAAAGGTGGAGCTGTGAACACTGCAGTCTGTTGATTGGTCAATAGAGGACGGTCACTCTGCTCAGGGCTGAGTTGTGTCTGGTTTTTTAGGCTCATGTAACCACTGTTCATACCGAGGAGAGTTTTACATATATATAAGTAAACTGTAACTATAACATGAAAGGATATCTTGCAGCATAATATATTTCTCTGGGCCGACTGCCGGCCATTACTTACTTTTTAATGTTTCTCTTGGATGACACAGACTTTTAGTAATGAGTGGATCTTCAAGCGTTTGAATATATATATTAATTTTGACCAGATTATTTGAACTGCATATATTGTAATCCTTACTCTGAGAAAAAGAAAAAGTGTTGCAGAGTGTCATTCCTGTTGGCTCTGGCAACACTAAACCCCAGAGCTTGCCTTATGGACTAAATGCACAAAACTGGTATTTTTAAATAACCCATCAACACTGCAGCTGCTCTATTTTGTTTTGAAAATGTCAACGTCCAGCCCTGTTTTGTGGACGATAAATGAGGTGCAGACTGACAAAGGAGGAAATACAGTGCGTGCTGGATGGAGCAGTGAGTGACAACAACCCTGCCCACATGAAAGAGTACTGTCTGTGGGGGAAATGCTAAAAGGATCTAGGGTCTAGGTACCATGTCTGAAGGGTTACTTTTGGTTCCAAAGGTACCATACTGAAAGTGTTTGGTGGAAACGGGCTTATTTAGTCGCTAAAATAGGTACAAATTTGCCCATCTGGCAGCTTGTAGTTCAACTGTTAGATAAATTGGAATTGTTAGTGTTTAAGCACACAATTTTATGCCATTAGCACCAACGCAAACATGCATGCACCCTGGTGCTGTTGTGGATGGATGGACAGATGAGGGCTTTTAAGTTACGATGTTCGGCTTATTAGTCAGTGACCCAACCCATGTGAAGACCTTTGTAAATACTCTGTATGACTATAATTTAAAGTACTTGCTGAGTGCTTTTCCTGTTTACTGCTATCACTGGTTAGCCCCTTACCCCCAACACTTTGCTTTTACTCCACTACCACAATGCTCTCTCCTTACAGCTTCTTATATCACGGCATGTACATTAACAATAGTTGCATCAGTTGCCTTGTGCATTATGTACACTATATTCCCTCTAAGTTCTCTGTGTCTGCCGGATTTGGCTTTGTTACCCCTTGGGGGGTTCGATTATGCTGCTGCTGAATCTAAAGCAAGTTGCTTGGATTTATATTGAGAACACCCTGGAGGGCAAAATCTGAACTGTGAGTGTGTACAGCTGTCTAAACATTCATACATATACTGTAGTAAAGGTTTAGCTTTATGGAGAGAGTGCCTGAACAGCTTACAGTGATGTCAAAATGCATGTTAACTGATTTTTATTTTATTTTATTTTTTTATTAGGGAAGTTAAGAAAAAATAAATAAATAGAATATTCACAGAGTAGACACTTATCAGGTCGTGTAAGCTAATGTGTGATGCTTGTTGCTTTTGTAAGCCCCTTCAGAGACTTTACAGCGTCTTTTACACTGTGTAACAATTTTTTTGTTCTGCCAAGAAAGACACACAGATGTGATAAAGACTGCAAAAAAATTGCGCATTTTAAGTTCTCATGACGGCATTTTTTATAAAGGGGGAATTAGGGTCTTGGATTTCTTCCAATTTGGTATTGAACTTTAGCCAACTTTCAATGGCTTTAAATTTGCACTGAAGTAACTTTCTTTCTTCACTCTTTAGTGCTCTGGTTGTGTCATTCTTAATGGCAAACAAGCCTTCTCGGGGTGCTTAAAGTCTAATAGTTTGTAGCACCCTAATGGAGGACACATAAGGAACGCCAGCTGGAATAATGTTAGCTGAGGTGCGATGGGTAATCCCACCTGCATTACTAAATCCCTCTTTCCTCTAACTCCAACTCCCAAAGATTTCTTAAGCCGCCGACACAGTTGCCATGCATGAGAAAAAAGGCCCAAAAAGTGCTGTTTCATAGCATCTTGTACAACTCACTAAGGCAAACAAAATAAACTCTGTAGTTTCTTTAACTTCTTAACAGATTTGATGCCTTTGAGTTACCTTCCTACCTAACATGTATCCTCCGTTGTTAAGAAATAAGGCTTGGTAATTGACAACAGCAGAAAACAAATATCAACGAGCTTGGATGATGTGATGTTATAGATTAATACCACTCCACCGTAGGGAGGTAAATTCAGGGTTTTTTGTTTCATGAGATGAAAAACCATAAAACCTTTCTAATACGGAGTGAGAGGTACTGTGATCTGTTTTGTCAGCAGAGTTAACTACAACGTCAGATGCTACCCCAGCTCTACAGATAAAACATGTTTCCCCCTCTGTCTCTCTTACTAGTATCCTCCCAATCCATGAGGATGGCATCTCTCTTATTCATTCTCTCGTTCACACTCACTCAGTTTCTCACTGTTCCACTCGTTATTATCTTGCTCAATTTCACACCCTCAATTGCACATTGTCTATTTCTCATCCTCCAGCTCTTTCTGTTGGACTGTATTTTTTTTTTTTTTTTTTTGCTCTCTCTGCTTGGTAATTCCCTGCTCTTCCTACGTCAACTTCTTTTTGTATTTCTTTCCACCTCTCTGCAATACTTCCTTCTTGCTCTGCTGCTCGCCTCCTCTGTGTCTATCTCCATATCTGTCTCTCCACTACCTGCCAGTTCCTTGGGGGAGGTGGGCTCTTTGGCGACAGATGGTGGTCTGCTTTTCATCTCAATGGCCACCCTGGAGGAGAAGCGGGCCTTGGTGGGCGAGAGCAACTCCTCATTGGCCAAGGAGTCAGTCCTTGTCATTATGCTCCGTCCACTGCTCTCCTCCTCGACCAATGCCACAGTGTCTCTCAGAGTGTTGCTAGGCGACATGGCCCTGGACGGCGCCAGCGCTTGGTCGTCCTGACTGTCAGGCATTTTTGAGGCAGAGCGAGGGAGAACTTGGACCTGTCCGCCTCCTCCTTGTCCATTGCTCTGTGGTCTTGGCGCTGTCGCCGCGATGGCTGCTTTTCCGTGGCCTGCCCCTTGGTGGCTGTAAACCTTGTATCGTATCATTAAGATGATAATAAAAACCAGCACAGAGGCGACAATAATCCCTCCAATGATGATGATCATTGTGCCACCCAGGAAGTGGCTGTGCAATGCTTGGCACTGGCTGAACTCTGTGTCTGTGGTGAATGACAGACAGCCCAGAGGACGGGTTGCAGTCAGTGATGTGATGACATCATCAAACACAGCCAGGACGCAAAGGTCGTAGTTGCGTCCAGCGGCGAGGTCCCGAACCAGGAAGTCATTGCTGGTGGATGGAATCATCCTGCCAAAGCAAAGAGAAAAGAAACAGAGATGTGATGACAGGGAATTTATAACTTTAAACTAATTAATGAACAAACTTTATTTTATGGGTTTTATGGGTCCAACTTTTGAATAAGGTCCTAATTGTTATCAAGAGGTTTTCTGGTGATATAATTTGGTATTAATTACAGGAAAAGTAGAGACAGTATTCAACTGATACTCTTCTAATTCATTAATTCATATCAGTTGCTACCTTGACTGAGAGTCCTTTACTGTGTTCAGTGCCAGGGCAAGAATACCATTCAATATATGTTTTCCGTAAATGAAGTCCCAAATTACAGTCTTTTGAAGGAAGCTTCTTGGGAAATCATAGCGAAATTATGCACCCATAAAATAAAGAGTAACCAGGAAAGGTGTACAATATATCAGTTTTGTTAATCAGCCATAGAAAAGGACAAAGGATTGTAACCCAAGTTACCTGAAATGTAATACATACACACGGATGCATTACACCTATGCAAATCTATCTTGGCAGACATGTTTCATATGGAAAGGATTATACATAAAATAGATGGCTCAACCAAATTCCAGATAAATAAATACAAAAAAAAAGTTATTCCAGTCTTAAGGCTCATTTATACTCCATTTATATGTTAATTTCTAATTGAGGCAGCATTGTATACGTCAGTCTGTGAGGCCATGAACTACACTGCAACATGTGGATAGACAATTCTTTTCGTTGTACTACAGATTCATCCTTTATGCTATTTTTAAAATGTCTTTGTTGTGTCCTGTAGTTGTGTCTTGCTTGAACTGCACCCACAATTTCCAGTGGTTCTACTCCATTTTTTCGGTATCTGTATGCTTCCAGAAAACGTGCACAAATACGTATGACATTAATGCAGAGCACAGACAGAAGGCGATGTCCGTGTCCATATATGTCTCTGAGGTTGAGCATAAAGGAGCCCTTAAAGAGTAGCTTTAGCACCAGGCTGAGGAGCAGCGTGTTGGTGCCCTCTCTGTTTGAAAGCTTCACCTCTGACCACAGCCAACAGTGATGTCACTGGAGTCCTGGCATCCACCTGTACTTCACTGTGGCAAGGTCAAAAGTTAAACCCCTGGAGGTCAGCATAGGTCTGATTTCCAGGGGCTGTTAAATTAGTTTTTAAAGATATATATATTGTGTGTAAGTGAAAGGGAAGCGGTATGGTCATCATGTGACCTGCCACATTATGTCACAATGCTCTCAATGACATTGCACGGTGGAGCTACTCTCACAGAAGCTGCACTGACGAACGCAACTGGCATCGGAGAGCCAAAATATCTGCCAACACAAACCTGTGCTGTCCAATTCTGTGTGTCCATTCACCATCACACTGTACCAATCAAACAAGCAAGGCAGAGTCATACAACAACAACAACAAAAAAAGAATCCTTTCCAAAAATGACTTACGATGCTTGTATTGCTCGCCTGTATTCTGTTGTGTGCTATTATATGAAAGCTGCAGCGGTGACACATGCACCGTCATCATACATTTCCATGCGGTGCCGCCTGTGGCACAACAGCCACCTCATCGTTCTTATTTCCCCACAGAGTTAGAATTCATAAGCCTGTGATCTGACAAACGGCTCACACAGATCCATCCCCCACAGCTGCAGAAATCACTATCCTCTGATTAAACGCATTCCTGATTCTTACCATTGTCGACTTCTATCTCGGTCTTTCCTGAGGTAAAAACCATAGTTCTAGTTTTTCCTTGGCAGCAGGCTTTCCTGAGGGAAATCCAGGGAAAAAAAAAAAAAAAAATCACCCAGGTAAACAGGAGCAATGGTTTTGTTCTGCTTATCTTAGTTTCGCTCTCTGCTTGTCTCTCTGCTTTCTCTAGGGGTCTTCACTAGTGGAATTGTCACCCCTATGTCATTGCTACATTTTTATCTAAATCATATTTCACTTCTGCTTCATTCACATTTTCCCCTATGTACTGTAAGTCTTTCAGCCTGTGCCCATTCCTCCCCCATAAATGTATTTCCACCTCTGCACAAAGACAGACAAGCTTTGCAATATCGTCAGAGTGAAATAGAACCGATGGGAGGCTAGCGTGTTTGTGTGTGTTTGTGAAAGCCAGTGGGCAGCAGGGTATTGGCTGGCCCAGTCTCAGTGCCAAGCTCATCGATGGCATTGAACCACCACCAGGAAGTATATCTTGGCAGATAGCTCTGTGTGTGTGTTTCTGTGTGTGTGTGACCTTGTGTGGCTGTGAAGTCTGGTGTGAAAGGATCCCCGGACTGAGTTCTTAATAGGAATCGAACCAGGAAACTTTAACGGTCCTGATGTCTTGCCAAAGGGTAACAGCATGATTTGAGATCAGAGCTGGGCTGGGGTTCCTGAAAGCAATTTCAAAAGGGGGACTAAGAGGAGAAAATATATATATTCAGAGAAAACAGGGCCTGTGTCCACTTTATTTCACTTCAAAAAACTACTGACTGGGAAGTCTCATAAGTGAGTAAGTCATAGCTTATTAGATGTAAAACAGCACGTCCTACAGTGACATCCGCAAAGCACATGAGCCTCTAATCTATCTGCAGTCCGGCACCCTATTTTCCATTTTAACAAGTTACTTATTGCTTAAGTGTACATGATATTCCTGCTGTGAAAATATGAGTTGTGATTGTCATGATGCAAAGTGAGGTGTGTAAAAGTCTCCCTCAGAGCACAGTCAGCTGACTCAAAACACATTATGTAAAAGTCGTGACTGACTCTAATTAAATTGTCATGGAGACAGAGGGAGCAGCCTTCAACGTGACTACATCACCTCCGATGCTAACAGTGCATCAGTCTTCTCAATACCCACACAGCTGTAGGCAGGTAGCCTAATACAGATTTTCAAGTGACAGGTATTCATTTTAAGTACGGTTTGAATCTTAGAATGAGCATATAGTGACAACACCTTGAGGTGCGAGGTACAATTCCTTTAAAATGAACTAAGCAGAAATGATGTGATCCCACTGCCATCAATTCAAAAAGTGAGAACCCGTCAGACAGGGTAGTGTAAGGTATTGTTTTGCCAATATATGACAACAGAACTAATGAAGGAGCTGCGGTGTGCAGTGCATTATACTCTCAGCCAGTCCTTGACTTTTCCACTGTGTTGTGAATTGCTGTCAGTTGGCTTTGTTCCAGCAAGCTCTTTGTCATAGTGGTTTGATTTTTTTTTTTTATTATTATATTTCATAATGACTACACCACAATGAAGACATTATGACAGTTAGATCCTTTTGTGGGCACAGAATCATACACAAAAGGGAACTTGGTCTATTAATGTAATTAAGGTAAATTGTCCTGACTAACAGCAAAATGCATCAGGAAAGGTGCAACGCGTCATGGAGGCGGGGTGGTGCAGGGATTTTTACCTTCCGCACAGACTCTGTCTTTGTAGCATGTGGTTGTGTGCCAGCTGCACTGAGTGCATATTGAGTTCTGCCAATAGGTAATGCAGTTGGTTACGCAGGGTTTGGACGTGTATGCTACATTAACTGGTACTGAATTAATTAACTGAATCGTTTTCAACTACAGGATGCATTGATTTGATTTATTTTAATGTGAAATCTAAAACCACTCACAAGGTTACTGTGCTGCATCACTTTGCCTCTGTCACTCTGAGGTATTCATTTTCATCACTTTAAAAGTGACTGTACTTGTTTTTTTAAGCAGTTCCATGTAGTTTTTATCTGTTTATTGCCACAGAGCTGCACACAGAAAAAAAGACCGGCGTGAAAGTAGTGCATGCCGTGCGATGCCCATTCAGGCAAGCGTGGCTTCCGTAGTCAGTGCAGCAGCTTCAGTCTTCTGCTGCAGCAGACGGGTCGTACCACGCCCATGCCCCATGTATTTGGGCCATAAAGATGCACAACTTAATGTGAGTCACCCATCTATTTGCAGATTAATTCAAAGTGCAATGACAAACAGACTAATATAACGTTAAAAATGAATGATACAACTGGAATCTGGGTGAAGTCATTCTTTTTTTAATATAACACATGGCTTCCCAGAAAATACAACATATTATATTATAAATGAGTATTCATCAGCAGTAGAAGGTATACATCTCATCTCGTCACCTTGCTCACATTGGCCACGAGTCTCTACTCTTGGTATAAATCTGCACACCCGACACACCACTGGACTCAATCAGATGTCAGTTCATAAATATCTAGTATGTTATCAGTGAAGCAGCTCAGATCAATCTAATCCAACCAGATTGGGTGAGACTGAATCAGTGAACCCCTTCACACTACCAAGATAATCTTTGCCAATCATCACCATTGCCTCCAAATGCAATCTCTCCTGTGAGTGTCAAGAGGGGCAAATCTGGTGGAAATCAGTGTGGAAAATCCCCTGGTGTGTCCCCCAGCCTGTAGGTGCAGTCTTCTTAATAGGAAGCAAACCAGGAAACTTCCACTGCCCCGAGGCTTTGCTAAAAGGCAGCTGCATATGAACCGAGAAGTGAGTGAGTAGGATGAGGTAGAGGAAATTCTTGGTTGGGGGGGGGGTCTTATACCACACCACCAGCCTTGTTAAACTTGAAGGACTAAATGCTGTGCAAAAAATTGGATGCTTTAATGCTGTGAAGGGATTTCTCCTCCTTTAGGCTAAAGGGAATGTGACACAGTGTTGCTCTGACTCATGTCGGGGTCGGTTGCAAACCTCAAAGTGTGGCACAGGGTCATGGCCTCTCTCTTTCGGTGCAGTAGTTCAAGTCTCTGTCTGCTAGGGATGACTGGTCGGTGCAGTCTGATAAAGCTGGACTGCCTCTGTCTCCAAGGTAACCAAGGTTATGTGAAATATGCTGATATCTGTTAAAGATGCAACAGGATTCCTTGGCTCCCCTCATGGCCTAACTCAGGGGTCAGCAACCTTAACTAACAAAAGGGCCTTTTTTGGCCAACAAAGGGAAAAAAATCTGTCTGGAGACGCAAGACATATTTGAGCTTCATAATAAAGTTAACACAGCCTTTTAAGTC